CGGGTGGTAGTCATGAGAGGCTGATCGCCCCTCGTTACCCACTGACACAAAACGAGGCACGATCGAAAAATTCTCACAGAACTGAAGAAAAGAGCAAAAATTCGTACAGCATATGCCCGGCTTTAGTGACTCAGATCATTCAGTCAATCTAAGCAGGCGCTCCTGAATGAATGCCTTCCCTATCGACTGTTGCAGATGTTTATCTTCAATCACATTCCAGACTAATTTCAAACCCCACAGATTTAGACTGGCTTACTCCAGATGAATTATATGTTTCCTCTACTACTCTCCACCTTGGTGTTTTTAATCTCCAACGCAACTTTTGCTTCTCGTAATGTAAAATGACCTTAAGCAGTCTGAAGTGTTAATCCAAGGTTCATATTTCGTTATCGTTCTAGACAGAGTTCTAATGTTGCTCGACTCTAATCTCGATTCATAGAAAGTTCTCAATATTTTGATTGAGATTATTAAAAGAAAATAAAGGTGAAGATCGTCCGATATTTGTATCAGCAAAGACAGATTTCTGTGTCTGTCTCTTATTGACAAAAGCTTACAATAAAAATCACAACAGTACAAATACGATGTGAACAGGAGGGTCATTTTTTGGGTCACTGCTTATTAGTCAGTGAGGGGCCCCACAGCAGCCATTTGCAAACATATATGTCTTGACACCAGTGTCTGTCCACCACAGGGGGGGGGGGGGGATTGGGAATGCCTAGGAAAGAGGATATAGGACTAAACAAGGACCATGGTAGAAAGGATACAAGAACTTATATGATTGACTTTCCTTCTCAGTTGGATGCAAACATGTAGTTCAATACAGTTATATTCAATACCATGACTCATCGTTTCTTATCTTCCATAAATAATTTAAGGTTATCCTCATCTACTAAAAAATTGCACTGCAAAAACGATCTAGAAATAAGATTTATTATATTATGTGTATTTACCATTAATTTGAGTAGCTAATTGAAATGTTTTGCCAATGGAATGAGTATTTTTACTCTGAAAATAGGATAATTAGATATATGAACTTGAAACAAGACAATGCAATTGTTTTTTTTATTATTTTGAATCTAAATTGCCTTTTTACATTGGCAAAGTGTCTCACTTACCTCCTCAATTCAAGAAAAACAAGCACTATTTTATAATAATCAATAAAAGAGATAATGATGATGTTGCAACATGATGCAACATTACTAAAAAATAGATAAATATATAAAAAAACAGCAGACACCGCATTACAGTTACCATAGTGTTGACCTGGTTTCCTTATTCCCCCTCTACAGGTTCAACCAAATGTCTGAGATGAGGCCAGGGGTGTTAAGGCAAAGCCGTCACATGCAAAACATCAGCCCACTCAGACTTTAACTCAGAGCCCATATGCTTCCTCATATCAGCTTGGAAACTCCTAACATTCCCTCATCTCTCAAATGAACGGCTTGTTATCCTTGTGTTTCTAAAACAAAAGAACTGACCTAGAATCAGTAATCCATTCATGTCATACTTCAGCCTCAGGGTCAGTGGTCTTCACGGGTCACAGCTTGGTGGTCTACAGGGTTCAGAGACCAATGATCAATCAGTTCTGCAACTTTTCTCCTTCCTCATTTGGTCCTCCAGCAGAGAGAGAAAGAAACCACTAGCCATGAATACAAGAAAACATTATTCTATCATTGCACTAAATAATTAAGTTATTTCTTTGTAATTTTGAAAATATCAACACTTCTCTTTAACCCTTCCCTTTCTGCATTTAGAACAAGAAAAAGGGAAGGGATACCAATCAGCCAGTTTTGTCCCTGATTTTCCTGCACAGAATTCAGATTAACATAGCATTTATTAAAAACCAGCCCCTGGGTTTACCTGGACAACAGACTTCATCAGAGACATAACTGTGAAAAAAAAAAAGAGACATAACTGTGAAGCAGTCTATCAGAAGGGAAAGCACAGACTGTACTTCCTAAGGAAGCTTAGGTCCTTCAATGTTTGCAGCAAGATGCTGATGATCTTCTCTTAGTTCGTTATGGAGTGTGATCTCTTCTGCCATGAGATAAGAACATGCAAACAAATGACTTAAAAAAGCTCATCAAACTAATATAGAAGGTTGGCTCTGTTCTACGAACTCATGTGGAAGCTCTGGAGACGATTTCACAAAGAAGATTTCTTCATAAGTAGTTAACAGTAAACATCCTCTTCATTAGGCTGTTAACATAACGTCTTCAGTCAAAAGCTTCTCCACATCTGCTGGATGACAGACTGCTGCAGGAGATCCTGCTTACACCTCGGAGCTTTCACCCACTTCTTTGCCTGGATGTAATCTCTGCTAAATCCACACTTTAAATAACACTTCTGTATAAAGTAAATGGCTATAAACAGGACCAAAAGTTTAACAGGATTAAATTTTAAATCAGAAAGGCAATATGAACAGATATTGAAGCGCTGGGCTCATACTAGCTATCATCATTAAATCACATTAAACTTCGTCCACAACATATTAGACTTAGACTTTTAAAGATTTATTTTGTCATTTTGTATACACGTCTTTAAACAAAAAGAAAATGAACATAATACAATATGAACATGTTTTTTTTTTTGTAAGCCTGGCCTTTAAGTAGAGTGACTTCATTATTTATTTCATATTTGTTATATCTATGGGCTGTAATAAAAAGTTACACTGCAAAAAATATAAATCTAAATATGAAATTTTCTCTTAAAATAAGCAATTTTTTTCTTGAATTGAGGAGTTAAGTGAGAGACTTTGCCGATGGAAAAGACGTGTTACATTTGAAATAAGAAAAAAACGATTGTATTTTCTTATTTCAAGTCCATATTATCTAATTATTTTATTTAAGAGTAAAAATATATCATTCCCTTGGCAAATCATCTTATTTACCTACTCAAATTAAGGGTAAATACACTTAATTTAAGACATTTTTACTTATTTATAGAACGTTTTTGCAGTGTAGGCACTATATCTTCCCATATATATATATATATATATATATATATATATATATATATATATATATATATATATATATATATATATATATATATATATATATATATATATATATATATATATATATATATATATAGTTAGTTCAACTACTTCACTCCGGCCACATCCCTAACCCAGAATATGATAATATTATTATTATGCTCTGGGTTGATAAAACTGTTTTAAACTGTGTTTTCATAAATTGTTATTTTAATCTTAACACTTATTAACATACTTATATGTTATCTTATAACTTATAACTTATCTACAACAACATTACTTTATTAAATTTGTGAATTGAACTTAATTTAGGAAGACCTGCAAATCAATGCTATTAAAAGTCTTCACATCATCTCTTTCATTTAGGAATGAAACTGAGTCTAAGTCTAAGTCTGAAGCAGCAGCGATAGGAATGTTTGTGTAAACTATACAGACAATTATGCCTGGAAACCACAAGAAATATGAATAGATAATTGGTGCTTTGACTTTCAAAATGTGGTACAGACTTAATTATTTATTTCATTAATAGCTGCTTTGAAGTTTCACTTCTCATCCAGGAAGCTTTTTCAATTCAAAATGTCAGAAAGGGCGTTTGAGGCTTTATAGACTGTATTGGTAGCTGAAGTTCTCTGGATGTTCTATTCTATCGGCTTATTATTATTTATTTATTATTTGATTAATGTGATGTTACACAAACAACAGTTTGACGAGTGTTTCGTCAATGAAAATTAGGGGAAAACATTTTGTAAATTGTAATTAAACAAATTCAGTCCAGAAATCTGACTTTAAAAATGTTTTAATCAGACAAGAAGGTTTTGAGAAGAATTTTTGAGAGTAAATTTGTAACTTCAGATTTTTATTATATTACATTTTCATAATAAAAAACATATTTTAAAGATTATATATTTTTTGTTTTTTCCCCTAATTTCTGTTTTTCAGATTTAAAAATTGCATGGTTTTCACATTTTATTTAACAGATCACAATCTCTTAGCTTCCAACCCGTTACAAACGCTCTGCACGCACACATTGACCAACACAATGTTTTTACCCACGTCCCTGCTGACCAATAGAAATTAGTCTTTGCACTTTTACCTCCAGATGAAAGCCCGCCCCCTGATGTGAGGTGAATTTGTTCTTATAAACGCAACTGGAAGAACATTTGCCAAAAAAACGACAAAAAGAAACTCATGTGAGAAAAGATATAGTGTCTCTTAAAACCTTTTTTGATTAAAGAGTTTCTTTGATGTTTGCTTCTTTTTTTAAAGCTACAGTGTGTAATAATTACAGGGATATACAGTCAGAAATGTAATATATTATACATAACTATGTTATTTATCATCATCTACGAGCTCAGCCTCTTAACCTTAATATTTGCGTTGCCTTAGAATTCATTATTTATAATTACATAGGAGCGGGTCTCGCAGCCATGGAGGCAGACATCTTAGCGCTACGGCAGCGCAGAGCCAACAAACTAGCGATTGCGAGATCACCCATTACGCTCGAAAGTAACTACGGCAAATTGAGAGAGATGAACTGAGACGGTACTGAACAATAGATGGCAGTATTATGCCTGAGAATACTATCTGTAAAATTATCTATGTAAACAAACCTCATCACTTCAGAAGGTAGGTGATGCAGACGTCGTGGAAGACATTTTGTCCCGTAACGCTCGCCGTACTGTTGGGGGGGGAGAAGCGGTGGGGGGGAGATGTTCATGTTGCTGCGGTCTGCAGTCTGGACGTCAGATGTCGCTGAAAATTACACACTGTAGCTTTAATTTCAATTGACAAAGTCTGTTCTTTGTTTGGAAAAATAATGAATAAAATTCACTCCATAAAAAGAGAATAGAAAGTCTGACATAAAAGCTTGGTGTTTGGACGGTAGCCTTTAATAATCATTAAATTAAAAAGCTTTGATATTGCTGGATGTGAAACACTTTACAGAGCTTTGCAAGCAGGACCTCCACATTAACAATGCTGGTCTGTGTGTTTGTCTCAACAGTCGCCCTGACCAATCAGAATGGAACCACTGCAGCCAGAAGGAAGACTGAAGATAATGAAACCGGAGCTGCAGAAAAGCAGATTCCAGAAGGAGAGCTCCTGCTGCAGGTCAGTTAACCTCTCAGACCTCATAATCACACTCTGAATATAGATGCCCCATAAACCATCTTTAACTCTGACCTTTCCCTGTGGCTTTTTCTGATTGGGTGGATAGTGTCGGTGAACATCAGTGGTTTAAAGTATTCTATAGATTCTGAACCTGACATACATCTGGTAATTAAAAACACACTAATGTACTTTCATGCAGCTTATGCTGATGTATCTTCCTGTAAAACCTCGAAGAGATTTTCCTGAAAGACCTATTATATAGTGGGGAGTGGCGGCCTAGTGGTTAGGGCACCGTGCTTAGAATCCTTAGAGGTTCTGAGTTTGAGCCCCACTTCCACAGACTGCCACTCTGGGTCTCTGAGCAAGACACCTAACCCCACAGTGCTCCCTGGGCGCCGCACGATGGCAGCCCACTGCTCCCTGAGGGGATGGGTTAAGTGCAGAGGTAAATTTCACCATTGTGATATCAATAAAGTTAAATTATTATTAGTTCATTTTATCCATTTTAGGATCAAAAGTATCAGCTAACGACTGATGCTGACATTCCCTTATACTCCACTGGGGGTGCTGTTTTCATGTTGATGTCTGGTACTAGTTTCCCACCATTTTTTTAGTTTTTATAGCATTAGAGGCTCATTTTTTCGGATTTGAACATGGCCGTGCACACTAACCACTGCGTCACCAAAGCAAGCCCCATTATTTCACAAGTGGGACAAAAAAGTGTGTGTGTTTTGCTGTTATCTGACCAAAGCCTCATCTATACGTTTGTTGGTCAACAAGCAGTTTTTTTTAGCTTTCCTTTAAACATTTTCTCTCCATTCTCAGATTTTCAAAATGCATTATAAATAGTTTTAAATCAACTGATATTCTCCGTTAAACTCAGGATTTCTCCTTCAGAGTCCCCATTGAGCTTTGCTACTTTTCTGATTAATGCCTAGTCTTCGTGTTTTTGAAAGGTTGTGGCTAAGCTATGCTTATTTTCGTATTTCAGACTAATAATTAGACAGAGAGCTCTTATTCTGTTTTTAACTTGTTTTGTTAAACAACTTCCTCCCTGACCTACTGGATAATCCTCCCTCCATGATGCTGTTTGTTCACCCACGTTCCTTAACCTCTAAGGCTGAAAACAGAACAGCTGGTGGTGTGCAACTTCTGAAGGCATTCGTTTGCCCTGGATTCTATTTAGGGTTTTTAGACAAAAGGGTTCAGAATATATACGCATATATATGATTTATTTTTTTATTTTGGGGAATTTGGGACAAAATGGAAGAAAGTTCCCACCCCTGCATCAGAGCACTACCTGTTCGATCCGTGAGCGGTTTTCTATGCTTTCAACCAAACTACCTGCAGCAGTGGAGTCTGGAGATGGAATCCACTCCTTAAATCTATCTTTGCTCTCCTCTAATTTATCCACAAGTTCTGTAATTGCGCTTTTTCACTCACTCCTAACTTTGTGATCGGCTGCATGTTTAGCAAACTTTCCCTTGAAATGCCTTTGCAAAAAACTCTTTCTTTTTTGACAAACTCTCATTAAAAAGCAAAAATGCAGGTAATCCTTCCGTATCGGTAATAAAAAAAATTATTCGCTCAGTTCTTCTTTGAATCCTCTGTTCTCATCAGCTATCTTCCTTTTTTTCCCTTTGGGATCCATGGCCCGACACAAACCTTTCGACTTGTTTGCCTGGCGCTGCGCTGAAACGTGTGTTTCAGGCTATGATCACTGATCTCTGTTTACATTTATCGTTTAAATGTATTTATTATACAAATATTACCAGCATTGGAAAACATAATTAATGTTTGTTTGACCTCCTGCACATCATATTAAAATAAACTTAAAAAAAAAACAAATTTTCATGCATTTTTGAAAAAGCTCCAGGGAGCTGCAAAGGGGGCGCTAAAGAGCCGCGGTTTGCCGACCCCTGATTTGGAGTTAGGTTAAATGTTTTCACTGTGCTAGCAGAGGTAAATAATGAACTTTGAACTTTTGTACAGGCTTTAAAGTCATAACAAGATTGCTCCTGGATAACATCAGAGGTAGAGAGTAACGGCTCAGCATGGATTATAACTTACACACACATGCACACACACTGTCCCACACACACACACAGTAGTATATACAATATACAGCAGTATAGCTCCACTACAGCAGTAACAGCCTCATCCTAATGCAAGCAAACCTAATGAGTTGAATGGGTCTAAAATAAAAAAAGAGCGAGTTTCTAACCCCCTGATGGAGGCGGAATATAGTCGCTCTTCATCAAGTCAACAATCCATTCATGAACGTCAAGCTTATACACACTATGGAGGTCTTCCATCTTGGCTGGTGTCCAGCTCCCATTTACCATAAGCAGCTTTCCAGATCCCAGTCCGGGCCCACATATAGACAGGAGGAACCAATCAGTATGAGGCACCCCCCAACCCCCCGGCAACAACCACTCACCCACCCCCCTCAGTCATTTAGTTTCCTCTGACACAGTTTCCATGAACCATGTTGTCGGCCCTTGTACCTCTGTAAATTCACGCAACATCACAGCGGATGGGTTACTTAATGACCCTATGGCACCCCCACCACCCCACCCCCCATCTAAAGAGTTCAGTCTCAGTGGAGACCATGAACCTAATATATGTCATGTATTCATTTTATTCCATTTATTTATGTTTCCATTATTCTGTGCTCCAAAATATAAAAAGAAAGGATGGTAAATATTTCTATTGTTTAATTGATAAAAAGCTGCCATGCAACAAACAGCATAGTTACAATTATCAACCTGAGAAGATGTAACATTAGAATCTGTGCAGGGATTTTGTAAAATGTTGTTCCTCATAAACTCTTGTTTAGACAAATCTCAGGCCTTCTGGTGGTTCAGACTTAACCTGTTTTTTTATGCCAAATATAGTTTAATGATTCATGTAAGCAGTTTGAAATGATCTCATGGTTAGAAAAGTTCAATATCAGACTCAATCTATTACCCAAATCCTCCTCTACCCGCCTGAGTGAAAAATTAAACATTAGTTTTTAAATCACATTAACAAATACATGCGACTTGGATGTTATCTACTGTGTCAACTGCATTCATACAATGCAGGTGTCCTGCACGCACAGTAGAGGACGAAATGATGTCCCAAGCTGTTTTTACGAAGTAAACACAGATGGGTGGTGAGCGCATCTAGGGATCTTTCCCAACTTTAAAAACTCAATCATTACAAGATGGTTCAAAAAAAGACTTCACTCTGCATCATCGTCTGCCATGGTTGTTGTTTTTCTTCCTGCCTCTGCGTAGCAAGATGCAGAATAGTGACCTCTGCTGAGCATTAATGACGATCAGGCCGGCTGAATGAGACCAGGCCGTTTAGACACAGGTCGCATTTAAAAAGATGAGATACTGTACATATTTTATTCAGGACCAAAGAGCCAAGTGGCCTTGGTCGCATTGGGAAAAATTGGATCTTTGTTGTTCAGACTGCCATGAAAAGATCGGATACATCACATATGGGCAAAAAAATTGGATCCTATTTCAATGGCAACACAAAATCCCTGACATATTTGGAGAACTATCAGACCTTACTGATAAACCCTAATTAATCTTCTCTAGACTCTAGATCAGTGTTTTTTAACCTTAACGCTTTTGAAGGAAGCCCATCAGGAAGTGTATTCTCCGCTTCAGAGGCGAGTAGAGCGAGCTTACTGGCTCTAAGATCTTTTGGAGTTTGCAGTCATGTCATCGATTTTCCAGTCCAGTTCCTTCCAATGTGTATCAGACTGGCATTCCAGAGGAAACAGGCTGCCCAATATTCCTAACTGGAGCAGGGAGGTTTCCTTTTATCTTTACATTGCACTGGACGCAAATTGAAAGCTCCTTTGGATAAGCAGTATTCCCATAACAGTGTTCTGGCTGAACCTGTGCACCTCTGCATCAGATGGAAGAGGCTGAGAGCTCAGTCATTCCAGCTGTAGGAAATCTCTTAGCTTCTATCTTTCATGGATCAGGGAAACAAAATGAAACCTGTTTAGCCACCATTCCTCCCCTGCTCCCCTCTGAATCAGTGAGGAGCGACTGGGAAGTCAGTGGGTGCTGAGGAGACCAGGCCCTAATTATAGCGGCTCTCATTGAAAAGTCAGGACTGAGAGCTTCAAACTGAGCTGCTCTCTGCAGCTGGTTGACATTTCACATCCTGTGTTTTTATGTTAATAAGTTGAAGATAACTACAAACACTGTATATTATCTCAAATACCATCTGCAGCATTAATCACTTTGCCCTGCAGGACAGCTGGGACTCAGTGGTTGTGTATGTGGCTTTGCTCTGCTTGTAAGGAAGGGGGTGAGCACATATCGGCCTAGTGAGCTAGAAACATCTCAGCATCTGTTTGTCTTTGAAAAGAAAACCTAAGTGCGCTCCATTTCCCTTAAGGTACCCCCCTCAACCCCCTTCTCAGTCTCATTGTTGGGGAATTATCATTTTTCATTCATGCAGAAGATCTGTGAATTTCTTAGGTCAGTTTTAGATAATAGCACAATGAGAACACAACATTCAGCAAGTTTTTACTGAAATACAAAGCAAAACTCAAGCATGGAAGTCATTCATCAAGATCATACATATCTAAATTAAGAAAGATTTTTCCTATTAAACTCAAACATTGTACTGCTTCAAATGCTGCCCTCACACTTAAAGAATTGTGTGTCTTCCTTAAAGGTAGATCTCTGCTTTAACATTTAATCCAGTCTGTATATTCTTGTACATTGCATTCATCCAAACATTATGTTCTTTGGCCCTGGTAAAAAGGATCTTTTTTTTTACTTAACCTTTTCTGAAAACATTATGTTTTCACATTTATTCATTTTGCACACCACTGGACCTTTGCATATCAATGCCTTTTGCACCATGACTTTAAACTGGTTTTCCTTTGTTCCTACACTCTTTACATTCTGATCGATGCTTCACTTTATAAATGGTAATGTTCATTTTACTGTTGTCAGCTGCTCATTCACTGTTGAACAGCTGTATGCGTTGAAATTTCATTTTGTATACACTCTGTGTATACAAAATGACAATAAAGTTTGTCTAAGTCTTAGTCAAGCACCAATAATTGGAGCAAATATGGAAGAACTTTAGAAATTTGTTTGAGTAAGATTTGATCATATTAAAGATTTTACTGACAGTAATAACATTCGGTCCTTCTCTAAAAAAATGTAAAAATACTCTTTTAAAAGAGCTGTTCATATGAGGAAAATGTCCTCAGCTCAGGGTTAGTTAGAAGAATTAAAAAAAAGAAAAAGCCCGACCTTTTCAATACCTCATTAGCACAACAGAGACCAACGCATTTAAAACTAACTTGGCAAAGAAAACAGAACTTTCTTCATCCTCTACATTGATTGTTTCAAAAATCTGCTCTCTCTCTTACTCAAAATATGCCTTTTTCTACACAAAGTTAAGCAACAACTGATATTTTTTATTAAAATTCCTCAAACTTTGGAAAAATCACTTTTTTTTCCCTTGTCTAGTAGAATCACAAAGCTGGACATTTTTCCAAAATTGATAAATAGACCAGCTAAAAACGGGCAGAGAGGCTACCATAAGGCTCAACACAACACTGAAGGAGTGCTGCTTCTGTTCTACATGTAAAATAAAAATAGATTAAACTTTATTGATCTCACAATGGAGAAATTAACTCTCTGCATTTAACCCATCCAGTTTTGGAGAGCAGTGGACTGCCACTGTTCAGTGCCCAGGGAGCAAGTCTGTGGGAGTAGGTTTTGAACTCACAACCTCAGGATTCCAAGCTATAATCCCTAAAACACTAGGCAACCACTCCACTGCAACAAACGTCACAACAAACTGTCTCTAAGCAGCTAAAATCTTCCAAACTATCCTGGAAGAAGGTGTCATGAAACCACATTAGAACCTCTCAGCCACTGCTCCAAATGGCCCTTTTTTTCCATAGGAACCAAACCCACATACTCATTTAAAACATTTGTAGTCTGAGATGGCAGAGAGCACATACGAGGGCTGTACACTAAAAAAGAAGCAACCATAGAAGAGGGAATGCTTAGGCTGAATCAGAATGTGCTTTCAGCATCATAGTTTGCTTCATATCTGAACTTCCTGCTGTCTTTCAAAAAAGGAAGCAATGTCTTGCAAACTCATTCAGAGATTCTCCAGGAGATTGTTCTCACAGTGAGCAACTAGTAGAAATACTGGTACCCCCTCTGTGTTGCTGTTGGCTTCTGGTCTGCCTTATCGGACCACCTTGTTTTTGTCCTTTCAAAAAACATTAAAATCTTTTTACGTTGTCCCATATCAACAAATTATTAAGGATGATATTCACTGGTCAGTGGCACATAAACAGCACAATTTTTGTGTAGACTAAGGTCTGATACCTTAAGCCGGGCATACGCTGTAGGATTTTTTGCCATTTTCGGGCCCATTCTTCCAGTTGTGCGAGAATATTTTCAATCAGGCCAAGTTTCAGCCTCATCTTGCGTCCTTTGTTGTACAGTATACAGCGGGTAAGGATGTTAGATCAGCCTCTCATGACCACTTCCCGATCAGGAATCATAGGGTCGGGAGAAAATCAAACATGTTTGGAATTCAGTTGACAGTGGTGAGGTAATCTTGGGCAAATCCTGCTGTTGAAGCAGAGCTCTGAGCGTCTACGAGCCGATATACCAGAACCTCGAGCACTGCGCATGTGCAAACAAGGGAGTTCTCCTTCTTCTTCCAGATGATGAGTCCCACCAGCGCCAAACCCTTCATCATACAGTTTGAGCTTTAGCTGCGTGCAACAATTCAAAACATTGCACAGTGTATGCCCAGTCTTAGTCAACTGAGACATGTCTGCATATTCTGGTTTGTACCTCAGGAGAATCACTGCTTTACTGCTTATGACTGGTCTGAGCTCAACAAGACTTATGGGCAACAGTGGCGTTGGATGTAGGAGTTTGCCCTGAAATCGAAGGGTTGACGGTTCAAGCCCCGACTCTGACTTTCAGTGTCGTTGTGTCCTTGGGCAAGACACTTCACCTGCATTGTCTACTGATGGTGGTCGGAGGGCCCGGTGGCGCCAGTGTACGGCAGCCCCGCTTCTGTCAGTGAGCCCCAGGGCAGCTGTGGCTACAATGTAGCTTGCCACTATCAGTGTGTGAGTGTGTGTGTGTGAATGATTGTAGTGTAAAGCGCTTTGATCAAGTCTCCTAACTTGAATAAAGGTGCTATATAAGTACATGCCATTTACCATTTAATACTGAAATTAAAGCAAATGTTTTCCTTTCAGGTTGAATAAATATTTACAACCAGGTTGTTTTAATCAGATGTTTTCCCTAAATAGGAGGAATCATAAATATATATATTTAGGCCTTATGTCCTTTGTGTCATTAAAGGTGATTGAATAGACGTTTTAAGGGTTTTTACTATCTCAAGCTAAGTCATGTACTTGTTTATAAGGAAGGAGCCTCTGTTTACCTTTTATACAGTTGATGTTGATTTTTTTTCACATCAGTAGCTTTTGAGAAAGAAAACATTTCTTTGCTTTTACAGGAATTAGCATTACGTTGTTGCAGCTTTGGTCCATGATCTACTGTATGTTTGTGTGTGACGCTCTACAGTATTATAGCCTAAAGCTGTATGTCTCATTAGCTATAGATCAGCAGCCACTAACCAAAGGCATGAATTGATATAGTTTGATCTCTTTTCAGGTAAAGTGAGTCTGTGTGGTTCTGTTTTTTTTGTCCTCCAGGCGCTTAATGGGTTTGTTGTAGTCATCACTGCTGATGGGACCATTTTCTACTCCTCTCACACCATCCAGGACTACTTAGGCTTCCATCAGGTACTGTACCTCCTAAATCTGCTTGATTTTATCGTTTATCTCAGTGATGAATGTATCAAAGTACCAAAGCATGGGAGCAGAAAAGAAAACTCATCATGCATTTTTATGTGCTCGGAAAACCTCATTGAACTCTTAATAATTATCTACAGGATTTGAAGTTTTCATGGACTGAAAGCATTCACTCATAGATCAGTCCATGCAGACATGCTTTCATCCAGACGAGGGGTTTGTTTGTGTGCTGCATGTGGGTGGGATAAACTTAGGAGTATTGGTTGCTCCTTCGGACATCCAAGATCGCTGTGTAAGTCGTTATCATTTTAAAGCTTGGCCTTGTCATCATAGTCACAGCAGAGTTCTGCAGAGAGCAAGAAAAGTTTGATCAGCAAGGAATGATCAATGAATCATTATTTATACCTAAAACTAGTAGGCTCACAGTGATTTAAAGAATTTAGTGGTAATCAGTAAAAAAATTTAAATGATCATTTTCCTCAAACCGGCCATTTTTGGCCAAATATAGTAACACCTCACTCCTGACATCTTCTGGTAAGCCTAGCGCCATACCCCCGCTTTACAAGCAAAATCAATGGGAACTGCTCAACACTTCTGCAATCAACAACAACTATTAAAAAGTTTGGGGGAGTTAGAGTTTATTAAAATTTGGGGGAGTTAGAGTTAAACTGACACTTACCAAGCTAAACCCACTCACCTTTAAATCCCTTTTCACTCCAGGTCCCATAATGGTGCATCGGTCTTAAATTTGAATGGTGCAGGAAGATAAACAGCTTTATTTAGATTAGATAACACTCACACTTCTAAAACTACAATATCCAAGGTTTAATCGCCAGCTTAGCCAGGCTGTTACACATTTTTAGGTCACATCTATAGATTTGGTGGCACAACTACCACGACTCAGGAATACCTTTATATGTCTATGTCTATGCTAATTATAGCGGTAAGCCTATGATAACATTATTTAATGTAATGCTATGCTATGCTGATGGTTAAATTACCTTGTGGATACATTTTCTTCCACTACAAAGTTGTTGTTTTGTTTTTCGTTTCATTTTAAGGAAAATGAACAACTTTTAAGGTTAATCTTTTTTTAAAAAATCACATAGTTACTTCTTTTTTGGTTGTGTATAATTTTCTGCATGCCTAAGATGCTCAATCAATTCTTCCATGTATGCGTTTGTTTGTTAGACTGATGTCATGCACCAGAGCGTCTATGAACTGGTCCACACAGAGGATAAGCAAGAACTTAGAAGGAACCTGCACTGGGCGTTGAATCCTCCTCAGGCTGCAGCTTCGGCCATGTCCCAGGACTCCCCTCAAGGTGACCACTTATGCCTTATCTGGAGTTTATGATGTTCAGGACCTAAATGAGGCAAAAAAACTGAAAGGAAATAGCCTCATTCACTCAGTGGCTTTTCTTTCCTTTTTAAGGCATCCAGAAGCTTTATTATTCAAAAACACATTGAAAGTTTCTTAAGGTTTCTTTAATATGTGATCATTAAACAGGGCTGTTACATCAGCTTTTCTATTTCTGTAAAAATCATCTAATGAAAATGTAGTCAGGTGTGTGAAGCTTGCTTCTAGCCTTAAACCTCAGTGAGAACAAACAGCGCAGCACTAAGCTGTGAGACCAGCCTCAGCTGCCATCACATGACCCAGTAATCTTCACTGTGGCTTATGAGCTGAAGTGGTCCTAGATCTGTATTTAGGTTTTAAGATGCTTATGTGTGTGTTGTGTGTGTGTGTGGGTATTTGTGCTTAATGCAAAGTGAGGACCTTTTTGGTGCATTACACTAGCAAAGCGAGGACTTTGATGTAAAATGAGGCCTTCTACTGACGCTCACTTTGTTGGTTTAGGTTAGAGTTAGGGTGGTGTAGACCAGTAATGGATTGGACGGTGGTAAATCTCCTTGATAGGCTGTAGAACAGTAGAAAATTAAGGGAATTAGATAGGAGTTTATGCAAGGTCCTCACTTTGTATTTGAAACACTGGTGTGTGGGTGTGTGTTTTTCCTCTGGGGAGCTTTGGATTTTGGCTAACACCAGCAGTCCAAACACAAGCAGAGCTTTTCTGAGGAACACCTGGTTACTCCGCATTAAGCATATTCAGAGAGAGGCAGATTAAACAGAACACAATGAGGTAAAACTATAGGAAGACTTTGGTCATTAAAATGACACTGGATGAAAATCTAGAAAAGTTACTCCACTGACTATTTTTCTCTTTTGCCATAGAGATGGAGCCGGACGGCGGCTCTTCTTTGGTCACCTACGACCCTGAGCAGCTTCCTCCAGAAAATTCCTCCTTCCTGGAGAGGAATTTTGTGTGTCGTTTCCGCTGCCTCTTAGATAACTCCTCCGGTTTCCTGGTAGGTTTGCGAAGAACTGACCTAAACACCACAGGTCCATGTTGCTGAGGGGAAAACCTTCCTGCTCGATAGAAAGAATATTTCAGTGGAGGATGTGCAGTCTTAAAATATACCAGGCTGTTCCTTTTTACTCCGAAATGGATTGATATCTCAATAGCTGACTCATTAAATTGTCTATATATATATATATATATATATATATTAGTGCTGTCAATCGATTAAATTTTTTAATCGCGATTAATCGCATCAATGCCTGAGTTAACTCGCGATTAATCGCATTTTAATCGCACATTTTTTTCCTGATTGAAAATCATTTAAATACTCTCGATGACATACAAAAAAATACATACAGGCTAGGTTTGTGCCAATGTTCTTTTTTTAAAATGAAAACAGGTCACAGATACTGATTTATGCCATAGAAACATATGGCAAGAAGATGGGGAGGCATGTAGCAAAAAATAACAAATATGTAGGCAAAAAAAAGGCCCTGAAAACAGGCTGATGTAAAAGACAGTCTTTACAGTTAATACAGTCTTTTGAACAAAGACAAGCATTTTACCCTACTGCTATAAAATTTAGTAGAGTTAAAATTAGATGTTAATTAACCAAGGTAATAATGAACAATTTTCAATCAATACATCAAAATCAATAGACCGACATCACTAGATGAAGGTAGTCTATGCTCTCTAGAAAGTTACTTTTCAGCCTCTTAACAAAAATGAGAACACACACACACCCACTCACCCACACACAGACACACCCACCCACACACACACACACGCGATACCGACCTGTTGCGTACACAGACGGCAAGAGTGCTGCTACGAGATTCCATTTCACCTCAGTAATCAGTTTTCTCAGCGTATTTCAGGTTGCTACTACACTCAACTTGTTTGTTGGTGGTGGGGCTTAAAGAAAAGGCACTAGCGTCACCCAGTGTATGAGCGTCTTTTTCCCTTGAGGAGCTCCGCTCTAGAAGCCTATGAGAAATGCATAGACTGGGGGAAAATAGCCCCGCCTTCCCGCAGGCTGCAGCGGGATGTACTTGGAAAAATTGTACCATAAAACCACATAGCGTTAATCTCACGTTAAAAAAATTATCGCCGTTAAAATGGCCTCGCGTTAACGCGTTAATAACGCGATAATTTTGACAGCACTAATATATATATATATATATATATATATATATATATATATATATATATATATATATATATATATATATATATATATATAAAAAGATCTTCAGAACCTTAAATAATATAATTCATCAGGTTATTTAGACTTCTTATGTGTCTTCAAATCACAGTTTCAGAAGACCTCCTAAAAGTATTACAGAGACTTCCTGATCTAACACTTGTCCTTCAGTGGGTGAGAACTTATGGCGTATATACACAGGCAGAGATAAGGAGGAAGACTAATGTCTGTGTGCGAAGTCTCAAAGAATGCAGATGACTTCATCTTTGTACACAAACAACAGTCGTAGATATTAAAATACACGTAAATAACATATTTATGGACCTGAGTCCATAGGGAACATGTTCTTCTGTTTGTTTCTTGGATTGGGCCGCCTATGGAGCAGTTGCCTTTTGTATCCTTGAACCCCAGTCGGCCTCAGCAGATGGCTGATCACTCTGAGTCTGGTTCTAGTGGAGGTTTCTTCCTGTTAAAAGGGAGTTTTTCCTCTCCACTGTCGCTACAAGCATGCTTGCTGTGATAGAAAACTTTTAATCAATTTGACTGGATGATCAGGTGAACTGTAAAGGGCTTTGTGATAACGTGTAGTGAGTTGGCGCTATATTAATACACCGAATTGCAAATTGAATTCTTCTCATAAAATGTGCTTCTTCTCCAGGCTCTGAACATCCAGGGCAGGCTAAAGTTTCTGCATGGACAGAACCAACGGCAAGAAAACGGAGGGAAGGCCATGCCCCAGCTGGCCCTGTTTGCGATTGCAACTCCCCTGCAGCCTCCGTCCATCCTGGAGATCAGAACCAAAAATATGATTTTCAGGACCAAACACAAGCTGGATTTTACACCCCTGGCCTGTGATGCCAAGTAAAGTCACCTTTCAATCCTTACAGTCATTATTTGTCTGTTAGCTTAGCTTCACATCAAACAGAACACATCATCTGTGGGTTGTTTGCTTTGGATATTTGAATCCTATTCTTTAGTTTCAGGAACAAACTTTTTTGATCAACTGAGTGTTGACTTTTTTGTCTTTCAGAGGGAAGATTGTTCTGGGGTACACTGAAGCTGAGCTCAGAGTTCGAGGATCGGGCTATCAGTTCATTCACGCAGCTGATATGTTGTACTGTGCAGAGAACCATGTTAGAAGTAAGGACATTTTAAGATGAGCTCAAACAATAGGAGATTTTCTATTAATGATATTCAGTACTCAAAATGAGGGGAGGGTGGCATCCCCCTTCTTAAAAAAATCTTAAAAATCATCCCCCTTATTAAATGACATTTTATTAATGAATGTCTAAAATTTCTACTATATGTTTCAATATTTGGCAGGCTGTGGGCTTAAGATTAGCCTGAGTGAAATAAATAAAATCAAAGAAGTGGCCTACCATGACTATAATGGTGATCACAGTGGGAAATTTTTCCTCTGCATTTGTCCCGTTACTATGTAGGGGAAGTGATAGCCATGCCAGTCCAGGGACTGAATGCAGTTCTACTGTAAGGTGCCTTGGTCAAGGTCAATGACCGCCATACCCGACGTGCAACAATCTTACCATGCTTATTGCTTTAGGTCAATAGACTATATTAATTAAGCAATATATGCTTTTCAAAAACAATCCACCGGACTTGGTTTCCAAGTTTAAAGACGTTTTGCTTCCCACCCAGGAAAGTTTTTTCAATTCAAAATGTCAGAATTAGCGTTGTGTTAGCAGTATAGTAGCCCAACAACTTTTTTTTGTTTTTACAGCACTAGTGGCTTGTTTTTTATGAACAATAGGCTGACAGGAAAGAGAGGCGGAGAGACATGTGGGAAAGGACCACAAGGCCGGATTTGAACCCGGGTTGCCCACTTCGAGGACTAGGACCTCCATACATTGGTTGTCTGCACTAACCACTGTTCCTCCATAGCCCAAAAACATGCAAATTCAACCAGAAGAAAAACTAATCTGATGTCGTTTTAGGGGTGATGCTAAAAAGCTAATTATCAGGGTACATTGAATATTAACTCCATTAGCCAACAGATGCCTTTGGTACAAACAGAACTGCAATGTTCCTCAAAGTTTTGTTGTACACCAAAGGTTGGGAAGGCCTGCTCCGATGTGTTTAGACAGCTTTCATAAGTAATTCTGCAGGATTAGCAAACAGCTGGAGTGGAGCAGCAGAGCTGCCAAAAAGGATACAGCCCATAAAGCCACAACATCAGAGATGATACATAGAGTAGCAGTGACATGATAGCAAATACACATGGCTATGTCTGACAGTGCCGGCAGTTTCTACCCAAAGAGGGTGCTGTGAAAGATGCTGCTGGTGGAGCAACCATGTTTAAAGTCCAGTTATATACTTGAATCAAGTTTTTATAAGGGCTAGACTATCAATAGTCTAGCCATTACATTAACTAAAATTAAAATAAAACAATTACCTCAATTTGCAAATCGAGGAGGCTGGATATTGTTGTCATATTACAAGAATCCAGTTGCTTGGTTACTTTAACCTTAGATGGCGCTGGCATGCTTAAAGTGGGTTTGCTGCCTCACATAATCCATGCTTGTGAGTAATCACTTTGCCGTGCAAAAATAAAGACCCAAAAACATTTACATCCTTCCTGAAAAAAACGTAAATAAAATTATAATTGTAGTAAAAAAAACAATTCGATTTTTACGGTGGCCGGGAAGTGCAAACCAATAATACAAAATCTGAAACACTTTTACAAATCTTGAAACAACTTTACATTTGATAAAACAAATAATAATCTGTTCGACCCTTTAATTTTTGCAAATAAAGAGTAAATTTGACCAAATCCACAGGATTTGTTGTTGGTGGTGAGAGGAATAAGCACAGTTAAAGACTTGCAGGTAATTTAATTTCTTCCCATATTATGGAGGGGAACAGATTATTTCAGTCAACTGAATCATCCATTCTCGCCTGTCCTCCTCCCATATATTTGGGAAATAAAGAGCAACTGTTTCCAATTTCTCTAAAATTGATGTTTGATATCTTATACTAGAAATGTCCTTAATCCAGTAATATTTCATATTTTACATTAGAAGGGAATTAACCAGAAATTCTAATTTGTGTGCCCTGCTATCAGCCAGTTTCCATCCTCTTATATCAGCAATGAAGAATAAAAAATACACTACCTGTTGGAATTCTGTTTGGTGACTGACGTTTATTTCTGTCAGCCTGAAGGGACAAAAGTTGGAGAAATACCGATTCTCTTGGCGTTTAAAAAAAACAACACAAGTAGACCTCGTGTTTTGTTTGTTGTAATTTTGTTTTCTGAAATGTAAAGTTGTTTCAGATTTTGTGTTGTTGGTTTTTCACTTCCCCGCCACCGTAGATTTTTGACAAAATCACACAGCCCTAATTTTACTTGTTGCCTCAGTTCTGCTAAGGATCTGAAGCGGAGTTTGAGTTACTCATAAAGAGTAAATCACTAGTTACATGCAGCATGAGTGGATTGTGGTTAAAACAGGGGTCTTCTTTGGGTTTAAAAGTGTTAAAAAAAACTTTGAATCATTCATTCCTCTGTCATATTGACAGAATGGGTCAGTGAGTTTTGTGATTTTAACATCTAAACTTATGATTTTGCTTTTTGTGTTTAGTGATAAAGACAGGAGAGAGTGGACTGACGGTATTCAGGCTCCTCACCAAAGAGAATCGCTGGAAGTGGGTCCAGGCCAACGCCCGGCTGGTCTACAAGAATGGCAAACCAGACTACATCATTGCCACACAAAGACCACTTTTGTATGTTTCTGTATATAATATAGTATATTATATACCATATATATTTACAATAACTAAAAATCCAGAGTTATTTAACAGTTTTGATCAGGCTGCTGGATTCATAGCCTTTAAATATATGCGTATAACCTAAACAGTCTTTTCTGACACTTTCTGTTTTAACAGAGATGAAGAGGGAGGAGAACACCTGCGTAAGCGCTCCATGCATCTGCCCTTTACCTTTGCCACGGGTGAGGCCTTACTCTACCAGTCCAACCACCCTATCGCAGGCTTCGTCGATGCAAGTCAGGAAAAAAACATGAATAAAACCAAGAAGAGCCGCACCGACAGACTGGTAAAGGATGGCTTGAATCCCAGCTCCCTTCTTGGGGCTCTCATGAGTCAAGACACATCTGTATATGTTTGCCAACCAGCTCTTGAGCCCAAAACATCCTTTCACAGCAGCCTCTTTGGAGAGCAGATAGACTTCTCTCTCCCTGAACCTTCTGGGCAAATTAAGATGTGGGATGAGCCTGGTAATTGTGTTTTGGGCCCAGACGTTTCGGAACCCAGCACCAGCTTTGACCCACTGCTAGCTACTCTAGATTCCCTTACTCTGGAAGGCCAGGGTGTGGTGGATGCAGAGGAAGAGGGCTGTTCAAACACTGAGCTGTTTGGAGCTCTGGAAGGGCTGGGGCTTAGCGCTGAGGACCTGGAGCTGCTGCTGCTAGATGAGCGAATGATCAGAGTGGAGATGGATTCTGAGCGGGTGCCTACTTTAGATGACCTCCTTACAAATGACGAAATCCTCTCATACATCCACAGCTGTATTGAGGGAAAGGCAGTCTCCACCGAGCACAGGGGACTGCCACTTCCTAGTACAACGGTGACCCCTACAGCAGCATCAGAAAGTGATGGCAGATCTGATACAGATTTTTCTCACTGTAAGCCTCATGTGGTGGGGCAAGCTCCTATTGTGCAGCTGTCACAACAGATGCAGCAGCACCTCAGTACACGAACAAGTAAACTTGCCTGTGACTGGAGCCGGCATAACAACCACTTGACTAATGGAGAAGTTCTCGGGCATAATTCATCCGTTCAGAATGGACACTGGACAGCTCAAGATATTCTCGTCAGCGCAGAAATCCATCTTCAACAAGTTAACACACAGAAGATGTTTTTTAGCAACAAGGCCACAGAACTTGATGGTCAGTTTCAGCAGCAGATGTACCAACAGTTCCAACAACAGCCTATAATGCAGAAGCAGCTCTCTGAGCAGTGTCCTGTTCCACAGAGGACAACCGCTCTCAATGGAATGTGTGATGTCTTCTGCTCCAACGGACCTGCTGAAAAATCCCAGTGGCAGGATTTTTCTTTCACTGAACATCTTGCTAGCAGCCCCTGTCCTGACAGAAGTCAGAAACTTCAGACAAACACTCCTTTAGACTTGTGCACCGACTACAGAATGCCAGGAATCCACGGTGGGAGTGAGTTTTCAGTTTCGTCCGTCCGGCAGCATCAACAGGAAGAGATCGCTGTGCCCTTCGCTCAGGTTTTCTCAGACTTGTCTCACTGCCCTCTCCCTAACGCCCCCCTGGAGCAGATTCTTGGAGTTGGAAAGCCCTGCCAGAAGCTGGACCATAATGAAGTTGTGAGCTCCGAGATCAGTCATGACCCCAGTAACTGCAAGGTGAGTGTGAGGGACCAAACTGAAATAAGGACAAAAGGTGTTCAAAATTTGAAAAAGTGCTTTCATTTAATTGTGTCAAAAAGGGTTAAGGCTCAAAGCAATACAAAATAACTTAAATAAAAAATAACATGGATCAGGGCCCAACATAACTGAGGTTAACTGAGGATCCAACTCAAACAAAAAAACTTACCTCCAAACAAAGAACTGAAGGCTGCTTAAAAAGGGATGGAGTAACCCAAGTCTACCACATGAGGGAGGCCCAACATAACAAAAGAACCAATAAATACAAAATTAACCATTCTATGAAAAAAATAAAGCAAAACTAACCTTTACTTAGCAGAAACAATAAGTGGGTATTTAAGTGACAAACTAATTAAAAACAACTTGAAACAAGTCTCCCCCATCAGTCTTTCAAAAATGGTACGCTCCAGGTTTCCTCCTCCAGCTGGTTTGCATCAGCAGCACCTCAAACAAAATAACAAGTGTAAATAAACCATTCAGACAGACATTAACTAAAGTGTGCACAAATAACCAACTTAAACATAAACTGTAATATAATATAAAGCAAGAAAAAAAAAATGCTAACACGATGTGGTGGTGGGAGGATCATCCACCACAGTATGCCTGTGTATTTGTTGTTAAAATGTTCAAAAAAACACACCACCTAAATAGTTCAAATGCACTCTGTCACATTTTAAAAGCTCAATAAGTATATTTTTGATTGCAATAGATTTTACAGTGAGATAATTTCTCTTTCTAAGCATGTTTACAGTGCCAATCAAATGTCTAAACATATACTAAAGTCAAATTAGACATTTTTAACAAGATCTTGTTAAAATATGTAGCAGAGATGCACCTTTTGTTGCCATTACCAACGCCATATCATTTCAAATCAACCAATACCAACCTAGTCACTTAAAGAAAATAAAATGATTTATAAACCCAGTTCAGTATGGACTCCCCTGTGTTTGTATTTTTTTTTTGTGTATTCAGATTTTATTCTCCTCTGGGTTGTTTATTGTTATTGTTAGAAGGATAGTTCAGGTTTTTGGACATAAAGTTGTGTAAAGGGTTCACCATCTGTAGCTGAGATGCAGTGGTTTCTGTACCAACACGTACTCTGAGAAACTCCTGGAAACATAAAAGTAGTAGTAGTTATTTTACTGTACATGGATTTTTAAGGTTTTTAAACTAGAAACGCTTAAAATGTATTTTTTTTTTTACAAATTATAAAACATTTTGGCACTATGTCAGACCCTGACATAAATAATAATTATTTTAATTATTTGGCCACTATTCTCCGCCACATAGGTGAGGTGCACAGTAACAGTGAACAGAACAGTGAACTATGGGGTCATTAGTAGTGATGAAAAATCTGCCAAAAGTATAATAAATACTCTTATGAGCGGTTTTATTCAAAGCACACATCTAACCTCCTATCCATGTGCATCTTGAATGTTCTATGAGTGATGATTTAATACTATGAGACTCCAAATACATCACAACCTTTGGGTGCACAGTCTTTTTATGTGCTTGTGGTTTGCTTTTTATGCTCCTTAGTATTCTCTCTTCCTCATGTGTGGAGCTGCACTCATAATAACTTTGTTCACTTTGAAGCCGTTACCCACCAGACAAAGTAACATGTCTGTGATTGGCTGCTTTTCAGAGAATCCCAACACTTGACACTGTGCTCTTCTTCCCTCTAGCAAAGCAACTTCAGGTTGTTTCTCTTCAACACAAGCATTCATTTGTGTGAGATCGGTGTCCCAGTTTGCGCATTTAACAGCTAGTAGTTTCTGAGCTTCTGAATGACGTAAAGAAGTATTTATTCCATGTGTGCACTTTTGGCAGAATCCAGAAGCCACATTTCAACTCAAGGCACTTCACATAGACAATTTAACCAGATCACTACAAAAAGAACGAAATCTAAATAAGTAATTTTTTTCTTAAAATAAGTCAAATTGTTCTCAAATGGAGGAGGTAAATGAGACGCTGTAACAAGACAATTTACATTTAAAAAAAGGAAATACGAGTGCATTGTCTTTTCATTTCAAGTTCACATTATCTAACTCTCTTATTTTCAGAGTCAAAATATTTATTCCATTGACATATCAGCTCTTTAACCTATTCAGCTTAGGGGTAAATACACTTAATATAAGAAGTCTTTACTTATTGCTAGTCTATTTTTGCAGTGATCATACAGTCAGATCGGATCAAAGTTTTCTAAGGAAAACCAGCAGATTGCATTGATTCTTTGACTCCCAAGCAATCCCTCACACCAAGCATTCTTGTAGTGACAGTGGAGTGGAAAACTCCCTTTTAACAGAAAGAAACCTCTAGCAGAACAAGGCTCAGTGTGAGTGGCCATTTGCCGAAGCAATATACAGTAAGAACTAGTAAAGACATATTGGGGCCAAGATAGAGCCAAGAAGCCCTATATTATATGTTATGTTATATATAACACAAAGACCCCTTATGAAGAATACAATAAATGGAGGTAGTGTTCCCTCGCCCAGGCTCGGGTCACTGGGTCCCCACTCTGGAGCCAGGCCTGGGGGCTGGGCACCCTGACGTGCACCTGGTGGCCGGGGTTCTACCCATAGAGTCCAGCCGGGCACAGCCTGAAGAGGAAACATGGATCCCCCTTTCAGTGGGCTCACCCCCTGTTGGAGGGGCCAAAGGGTTTGGGGGCATTTTGTAATAGGTGGCAGTCGAGGCTGAAGAAGCTGGCTTCTGGTGGGGAGGAGGCCTGAGGTAGTGCATGAGGTTGAAAGATTGCAGCTAGAGCAGGGCAGGCAACCCAAACTGTTCAAAGAGCCATATTGGACCAAAAAAGCCAATCTGTCTGGAGCACATGTCACATCATTTGACTACTCTGCTGTATGATATTCAGTGATTTAAGTGTAAAATCCATTTCAATAGTAAAGTGCTAGGTTTGTTCTTCTGGGGGATTTCAATACTCATGTGGGCAATGACAGTGAGACCTGGGGGGGCGTGGTTGAGAAGAATGGCACACCTAATCTTAACACAAGTGGTTCTATTGTTGGATTTCTTTGCTCATCATGGATTGTCCATAACAAACACCATGTTCAAGCATAAGGGTTTCCATATGTGCTCTTGGCATCACGACACCCCAGGCCATAGTTCAATGATCAAATTTGCCTTGGACACACGGGTGAAGAGAGGGGCGGAGCTCTCCACTGACCACTACATAGTGGTGATTCTTGTCTTTTGCTCACCCATAAATGTGCCTGCCAGTGATAGCAATTTACACGGCTGGCAGAAGGATCCCATACGGACAACAGAGGGAAGGTGAGGCGGCATTGTGGGGCTCACTTTCTTGCCGAGCAAAAGGTGCTAGCTCAGGAGGACAGTGGTAGATTTGAGAAGTACTGTGGCTCACCGGTGCCTGTGCTGGAGGTAGGACCACGAAACAATCCTTCTATGGCTAAATAAAAACAAACATCTTAAGAGCATTCCCCAGTTATTCTTTGTCAAAATTATTTTCCTTGAGTTAACAGTGGACTAAAAAATAAACCTGGAGAAACATGGCTGTGCCATGTTATGGTAACCCGCTCACCTTTAGTTAGTATTAGCATAGCTGATGTTGAACATAGCTGTGTTAAAGAAAGGCAGCAACCTCTTCATGGCTGCTGAGCCTTTTTATTTATTTAAGTTGGCACCAAAACTTAGAAGCTGGACCAATGTTCATTCTTGTTTTACTTTTCTTTTTGTCCGTTTGAATCTGAGAATGTTCTAAATTATATTTTTGGTAAAAAAGTTGTTGCTATGATATTTAATAGCTCAAAAAAAATGTCACATTATATGTACATGCAAACAACTATATCTGATCCTAGTCAGATCTGTTTGGTTATTAAGGGCAAACCTCACAGAAGGTGTAATGTTGCTAATTAGTCTTGTCAGTGATGGACGGCTTTCCCTTAAGGACATGAATCATGAGGAGTCGGTTACTCTCTGACCTTTTCCTTGTAGTGATGAAGCTGATGTTTCTGGCTGTGCTGCCCAGCAGGCCATGTGGCAACATTTGTTGTGTTTTATCTGTAATAATTACAGACACAAAGCTCTAAAATGTAATGTTTAATTCAGTCATGCCAAACAGTTTGCCTTTGGGTTGCTTTAAACCTGACATCAGGCTTTTATATGAACTTGTATTGGTCAAATGTTCAGCTGCCCTCATTGTTTTCAAGGAAACAGATGTGAGTGTAGTTTTCTAAAACAATCTTTAGTAACCTTTTTTCAATTATTGTGTCCTGTTTCGAATGTTTTAATACTGTAGAAGTAAACATTCAATGTACTAAAAGTTTCGCTGTGAAAAGAATTTGATTCTAATCAACATTTTGTTAATCCTCACCTTAATAAGTAGTGCAAATTGGTACATGTTACTATAGAAGTTCATATGTTTAGATGGAGTCCATGGAGAAAGGTTTTGGGATGTGTTTAAATAAACGTGAGAATAAGAACTCACTGGATGATCACACGGCTGAGGTTTGGTCAACGGTTCAACAACATAAGCAACTATAATTATCTGACCTGCTGGTCATGTGGCATATTATGCTCCATATAAACACAACGTTTAAGAACACAAGGCTCCTGACATGAACAAAAGATATATAGCAGCAATAAAAGGACATTTTATTGCTTTATTATATTTTATTTATATAATGGGGAGTGTAGTGGTTAGAGCAGTGCGCTTGTGCTCTGAGAAGGTCGGAAGTATCCAGTTCGATCCCCACAGCCTCCACTCTGGGTTCCTGAGCTAAACCCTTAACCCCACACCGCTCCCCAGGCGCCACACAGTAGCAGCCCACTGCTCCCCAGGGGGATGGGTTAAATGCAGAGAGTTAACAAACAAAACAGGACAAACAACCATTCATGGACACCTAAGGAGAATTTAGATAAGCCAGTTAACAAGACAGTCATTTTTTTGGACTATGGAACGAGGCTGGAGTACCCAGAGAGAACCCACAGATGCACGTGGAGAACATGCAAACTCCATGTAGAAATTGAACCCAGAACCTTCTTGCTGCAAGGCAAAAGCGCTACCTTCTGCCCCACCATGCAGCCCCTATACTTTTATAATTAAACAAAGGCTGCATCCTGAGCAGGAGGTGATTCTGCATAGTGTTCCTTTTTAAAATAATTAATAAAAGCTTTGATGTTTCATGTTGCAATATTAGATGTAAGGTAAAATAATGATATATAATTGAAATTAATCTGAAAAAGATTCGAGGGAGTATTTGGAAAATTGCACAAACTGGGTTTTTGAGTTAGTCTAGCTAAAAAGCAAGCTGTGTGCTCCATTAACCAAACATATCATTTTTGAAAGGAACTCAAAGGACATATAAGCATAACTTTAAAGTTTTGACATAGTAATTGGTTACAAATGTAATTGGATAAAAATGTTTTTAGTAAAAACATTTATTGTTTTCAAACTGTAAACCTAGTAGAGTCCAGTATATTAAACCAGTTTTAGTATACTGGACTCTACTGGGTTTATAGTCTGGTTTCAAAATATGAAATTATAAACAACATATGAATATTTTAATCTTAAATTAATATCCAATAATCCAAAATGAAAATGCATAAAACATGATAACAAAACTGTATTTTAAAGTAATTCCATTCCTCAAACAGTTGATTTAGTTTACTTAAATTCTTCAAAGATAATTCTAAATAAGTTACTTAGGTTAACAGAAAATTCAGTTCAATTCTAGAATACTTTCCAAATCAGGAAGGAAAATAAATGTTGCTGTAGATGTCTTAATTAAAAAAAAAAATCTTTAGTCCTTGTTCTTTTTAATAGTAAACAAATTAACTCTACTGCTGGAGTCTGGTTTGTTTGTTCAGCCACAGAGAGACACTAAAATTCATTAAAACTAATTGACCACATCAAATTGTGCGGTGTAAAAAGTTGTCTTTTCATGGTGGCTAAATGCACCATCATCCATTTGTAGGATCATCATTACATCAATACATTCCTGGATCTTCCTTTCTTCCCTGAAGCAAATATCTGTTTGTCATGAAGGAACAGTTTCTATTTTCCTATTTTTTTATTTCCAAGAGATAAAGCAAACCCGTATAACTCATGAACATTATAGGATGACTGATGTATCAAGCCCTTTGTCAGGTATTTATCTGTTTACCTTCAGAGCTACAGTTGGAGATAAGGCTTAATCAGAGCTATTCTTGCTTGAAAACTTTCTTGATTCTACGTGGATTGGAACGGATTTAGAACTAACCAAGGGTGTTCTTAACCCCCTTTTATTGGTGCATGTGACCCAGGATGTATCTGTTGTCCAAATGCACAAAAATCTGAACTTTCTGATAGCATCCACACTGCGTGTTAAATCTTTCTGACATTTTCTGACCTTATTCCATCAGGTTATGCTTTACTGAACTATCGTACAGTGTACAGTTTGTGCTTCTTTATTCTGCAGCCCCTATAGTGCAGCGTGTGAACCGAGCTGGAAATAAGAGCGCTCTGTTATCATTTAGCACTTTTAATAGTTGACCCTGATATTTTTACAACTACCTAAATAGGGGGTGACCTGCATCTGATGGCGGCAGACGGATTGACTAAAATGATATGTTCAGAGTCAGAAAAGTGAAGTCATTATAACAGCAGGCTTAAAAACTCTACATAGAAAAGAAAATTTATTTGCTTCTATTACAGCAGATTAAAAGGTAAAGGCCATATAGATATTTAGATATTTCCAGTCATGATTATGAAAGTAGATCATTTTAACAGTTTAAACAACCAGTGGGATTTAAAACTGAACTATAAAGCTTTTTGTCTTAATAACAGTGCAACAGAGGGCTATCCCACCTTGGCTGACAGACAATATACAGATAAGTGATTTTTTCTTAAAATAAGTGCATTTGTTCTTGGATTCAGGAGGTTAAAGAGACATTTTGCCGATGGAACAAGACAATTTACATTTAAAATGAGAAAACGCAATTGCATTGTCCTTTTTCAAGTGCATTCTATCTAATTATTTTATTGAGTAAAAATACCCATTCCATTGGCAAATCAAACAGAATCAGAATCAGACATACTTTAATAATCCCAGAGGGAAATTACTAATCTCATTTACACTCAAATGCGCTTATTTTAAGAAATGTTTATTTATTTCTAGTTCGACTCTACACTGCAAAAATTATCTAAAAAGTGTCTAAAAAATTCTTAAATTAAGTGTATTTGCCCTTAATTCAAGCAGGTAAATAAGATGATTTATCAATAAAATGAGTATTTTACTCTTAAAATAAGAGTTTACGTGAAATAAGACAATGTTTTCTCATTGCAAAAACGATCTGGAAATAAGTAAAAATGTCTTAAGTTAAGTGTATTTACCCTTGATTTGAATAGCTAAATTTGATAATTTGCCAATGGAATTAGTATTTTTACCCTTAAAATAAGATAATTAGATAATATGCACTTGGAATAAGACAATGTAATTGTGTTTTCTTATTTTAATTCTAAATTGTCTTGTTCCATTGGCAAAATATCTCTTTAATCTCCTCAATTTAAGAAGAAATGCACTTATTTTAAGAAAAAATGACTTATCTAGATTTAGATTTTTTCCAGTGCTTATTTTAAATGTAAATTGTTTTTTTTCCATTGAAAAAGTGTCTCACTTAGCTCCTCAATTTAAGAAAAAAAGCACTTATTTTACGAAGAAATTACTTTATTTAGATTTCAATTATTTTGCAGTGTGACAAAAGTATACTTGTTTGAGTTTAACTTTTTAATTGTAAATGTCCTAAAAGCAAAATATGGGGCACATTTAGACATTGAAAATATATTTTAAATTTAATAAAATGCTAGTTAATATTCTCTTCAGTAACCAAAGTTACTCTACTTTAACATTAAAGCACATCTTTGGCCGCAGTATCTATTGGTGTTTAGTAAGAACAGATTTTTTTGGCACTGGCCTTTTGCAGAGTGCTGGCCCACAGATTAAATCATCAAAAGCACAATTTACCAAGTTTGGATAAGTTTTATGTTAATAATAAACAATAACAATAATTTGGATTGTTTCATTGAACAAATTAGTTAAATCAAACCATAAACTGGTTGTAACCTTCAGCTGGATTTCTGATGTTTGTTTTTACCTCATGCAGATGAAGAAAGGCTGCATCCTGAGAAGCTCCTATCCAGGAGGGTGTGTCCTGCCCAATGGGAATGGAGCAGCGCCCCCTGCTGTCAAGGTGGCCAATTCTGAGACCCTTCCTCTAGTCCCAGACACACAAGCCACCGGCTTCTACCTCTGACCAAGTGATGATGATGTAGCAGGACACTGTGAAGAAGCAGAAATGACTGGAGCAGCCTTATGCACAGAGACAACACTGGGTTTATTTCTGTTCTTCTCTTTGTTTTCTGGGGGGAGGGGCCTTTGTGTTTTTATTTAACTATTATTATCACAGGTTTGTTGTTTACATTAATGCAGTGAGGAGTGTGTGCTATGTTGATGAGTTAGACGACTTAGGTTAAGGTGAGGTCTTGCATGATTGACAGGTGGAAGCTGAATATGAACGGCAATCAAGTTCAAACAGGGAAAAGCGTTATTGACCATTTTATTTACAGCTGATTGTTCAGCTTCTACATGATTTACTCCACAGACGGCATTATGTGTGCAGTTTTCACCTGACAAGGCACAACACTGAGATTCAGACGACTCAGGAGATGATGGTCAAAGAGCAAGAATGTATGATAGAGAGACATCTAGTTAGACAGATTTCTAAGCAAAACCACTTTAATAAGCTTCAGCAATCCCTAAACAGTATTTTCTATGAAAGTATTCACTGTAGAGGGAGGGTCATGTTGCGGAGACATTTGTTGTTCTTCATGGTAAAGATGTGTAAAATGGTCTTTTATTACAGCAGGATGATCTCACAACGGATAATTCAGATTTAAAGACTTAAATCTTTAAAAAATTGTGCAGAGAGTATACAAACAACACTGTCCAGTTTGCATTAATTAAGCCATGACTTGTTCAGGATGATGGAACAGCAGTTCCTAATCTCATTTTTTGAAGAGAGTTCTAGTTGGAGATGATCCATTTTGTTATCAGTGAGCGGACGTTGGAGAGCAGGATTAATGAGATTGTTGGTCTTTGGGGATTCCTTCTTAGCTTCGCCATTTGCCCACCTCTGCAGCGCCTTTTCTATCTTCTTGCACTCCGCTTCCTCCTGCCCCCACTCCTGCTTGGTTTGTTCCATGAGCCTGCTGCTCTTTTCTCATCAAGAGTGGCTGAATTTACGAGTCCAGAAAAGAACAATGTCATGATGGGTTTCAGATGATTTGCCCACATGCAGAAACAACTCAGAGGTGGATGAAAACTTCAACAGTTTATTGGAAGGGGATAATTCAAAGAGAACAAAGGAGGATTCTCAGCTGGAGAATATCCAACAGTCAGGAGAACCGGAAACACTAGAGGGAGATCAAAGTGGTTAATTTAAGGCCGGGAAGGACTCACAGAAGTAGACTTGAGGTTGCTCCTTGATTCCAGTTTGTGGGGACTTTACAGACCTGGTGATACTTGGCTAGAGGGCGGACAGGCAGACAGGTAGTGGTCCAGAGGAGCAGTGGAGCGGGCTGTCAACGAGTTTTCCTGAAGTGGACAGCTAACAGGAGCGGTGAATGTATTCCTTTAATCTCAGGGAGACGAACGATTCCTTCCAAGGCTTGAAGGACCAGGCTTATCCAGTAGATCAAGAAGTTATCCTGCCTGAGACCACAAAGGAGACAAAGGGTTAGAACCCAGGGCAAAGAGAGAAAAAAACTCAGTAGTTTAGACTCAGCTAATCTCTGTGAGACTAGAGTACCCAATACTGGCAAACACTCTGGCGTTGAGGTGGTGACAGTCCGCTGCTCATATACTCCTCTGGTAATGACTAAACGAGGTGTGTGTGGAAAACCAGAAGAGGTCCTCCAAGCCAACAGGGGAAAAGGGCACCATCTAGTGGATCGGTGGAGACAAAAAAAGGAAAACAAAACGTCTCCCACAAACAGAAACCCTAACAAACACTTTGTGTCCATAGTTCCAGCAGGTACTGGAGGCTGTAGAATCAGGATCGATGCATACTTAGTAGCATTCTATGCTGCATATTTTGTAGAATTGTTGAGAGCTGTATTCAGCCGCTGCCTGCAGGCGCTGCTCTTTCCTTTTCAGAGAAGGAATATCTCATTTGAGCACTTTTTTCAGTAGGGAGCAACAGGCTGCTAAAACAAACATTGCAGCATTGTTATTTTTTTATAATAACAAAAGTATCTACAAAGGAAAAAAAAAACTTTTTTAGTTTAACTATCTTTACCTTACATCTTAGAGTTTATGTCTCCAGGCGCCTCCAATTAGAAATAATTCCTGTTTTCCAGGTGTAGGAATATAAAGCGGTAGATTTGTTCCAGCTAACGGCCTCCAGGTTGGACAAAGATCCAGACTTATGTGCAGAACCACACAGTGAGCAGGACGTCAGGGGAGGTGAGAAATGTCCAAAGGTCAGTGTTAGAGAACCACAGCAAAGAGTGACAGCATGGGGTCAGCATGTCCCCATAGCAACAATTAGACACCATCAACAAGTCATAATGGTTGGGAGAGATGCCAGATAGATACACTATATTGCCAAAAGTATTTGCTCACCTGCCTTGACTCACATATGAGCTTAAGTGACATCCCGTTCCTAATCCATAGGGTTCAATATGACGTCGGTCCACCCTTTGCAGCTAGAACAGCTTCAACTCTTCTGGGAAGGCTGTCCACAAGGTTTAGGAGTGTGTTTATGGGAATTTTTGACCATTCTTCCAGAAGCGCATTTGTGAGGTCGCACACTGATGTTGGACGAGAAGGCCTGGCTCTCAGTCTCCGCTCTAATTCATCCCAAAGGTGTTCTATCGGGTTGAGGTCAGGACTCTGTGCAGGCCAGTCAAGTTCATCCACACCAGACTCTGTCATCCATGTCTTTATGGACCTTGCTTTGTGCACTGGTGCACAGTCATGTTGGAAGAGGAAGGGGCCAGCTCCAAACTGTTCCCACAAAGTTGGGAGCATGGAATTGTCCAAAATGTCTTGGTATGCTGAAGCATTCAGAGTTCCTTTCCTTGGAACTAAGGGGCCAAGCCCAGCTCCTGAAAAACAACCCCACACCATAATCCCCCCTTCACCAAACTTTACACTTGGCACAATGCAGTCAGACAAGTACCGTTCTCCTGGCAACCGCCAAACCCAGACCCGTCCATCAGATTGCCAGATGGAGAAGCGCGATTCGTCACTCCAGAGAACGCGTCTCCACTGCTCTAGAGTCCAGTGGCGGCGTGCTTTACACCACCGCATCCGACGCTTTGCATTGCACTTGGTGATGTATGGCTTGGATGCAGCTGCTCGACCATGGAAACCCATTCCATGAAGCTCTCTGCGCACTGTTCTTGAGCTAATCTGAAGGCCACATGAAGTTTGGAGGTCTGTAGTGATTGACTCTGCAGAAAGTTGGCGACCTCTTCGCACTATGCGCTTCAGCATCCGCTGACCCCGCTCCGTCAGTTTACGTGGCCTACCACTTCGTGGCTGAGTTGCTGTCGTTCCCAAACACTTCCATTTTCTTATAATACAGCTGACAGTTGACTGTGGAATATTTAGGAGCGAGGAAATTTCACGACTGGATTTGTTGCACAGGTGGCATCCTATCACAGTTCCACGCTGGAATTCACTGAGCTCCTGAGAGCGACCCATTCTTTCACAAATGTTTGTAAAAACAGTCTGCATGCCTAGGTGCTTGAATTTATACACCTGTGGCCATGGAAGTGATTGGAACACCTGATTCCAATAATTTGGATGGGTGAGCAAATACTTTTGGCAATATAGTGTATCTCCTCTCTCCTTCCATCTTAAGCATAAACCCTTTTGGGACTTTTGAGTCAGAGCAAACTAGGCTAAGCTTTTAGAAAACAAACTGTGTGAGTAGGTTTGAGGTGATGAATTCAAGGAACACAAAAGAACTATAATCACAGCTTTCTTCACCTCCACACTAACTGCAACCACGCCCTGACACCACCACCCCACCTTTCACCAATATGTGCAGATTTACAAAGGATAAATAAAAACAAGATAACTTCTGTTTGGAAAATTTTCCAGGCTGAGTAACTGAGAAATTATACCCTTAAGGAAATGTTTGACTATTAGCACCAGTGGCTCAATGGTTACTTTATTTGTCACCCAGCTGGAGCAGGTTGAATTTTTTGCTTCGGTATAGCCTGTTTAAGAGAAGACAAATACATGGGTGGACGCTGTGCCTGAGGCCTTCGAAGGCGCTGTCCTTATAGTTAGAAATAACAGAGCAAAGGGTTACAGTGGGTCATATCACCAGAATGATTGACAATTAGGAGGACCACATATTTTGATGATCCACCCGGATATAAAAGATCATCCTCTATACCTTTAATAATCCTTTAAATGTGTTTATTTTCAATTCAGTTTATATATTTCAAAGCACTTTGCAGAAAAAATTAACTCAAATTGGTTACAAAGTTTCTAAGCAAAACCAGCTGATTGCATCAAGTCATGGACTTTGCAGGATTCGCTCCTCCTGGATCAGCATGTAGAGACGGTATTCGCTAGCATTGTGTTATTTCTCTACCAGTAAACTAATAACTGGTCATAACTGGGTCTTTTAGCAGATTAGAACACGCTTACATCAGTTCCCAGATTAAACCAGGAGCTGAAGTTTATGCTTCAGTACTGAGACTTATTAACAAGGAAATAAGTGTTATTCTCAAAGAGCAAAGTTAAGAATATGAAATGCAGCACCAGAATATATTTCCTACGGTTAAGTCCTTTTCATTTCTCTTTTTGCTAGATAAATGTCTTAAAATTTAAGCTTATTATATTAGTATTTTTCTAATGTGATATGGTGTTGAAATATAGCTCAATTTAATGTCTTTCTCTTAAGGCTTTTACACATCTTTACACATGACCATTGTGTAACTTAGGTTGGTAAACCTGGACACCGCTGAGATTTGGAGATTCATATCAGCTAGGGTTAGTTTTTGGTGTGTAGGGTGCAGGGTAACGTTGGGGTTCGTTTTTGGAAAGGCTGCTGTGGATGAAGGCGATTTTCTGACCAATCAAATCACGTTTCTACTCATATTTCCTGTTTTGATTTGAGTTTAAGCACACTACTTCATTTTTTGTTTTTCTTTATTGACCATCCATCACACTGAGAGAAAGTCCTTTTTCAGCTATATGAAAATTTTCTACTTGTTGGAAGTTTAGAAATATAGAAGGAAAAGGTGATGAAAGGTTAAAATGATGAGCACTTTATTTTGAGCAGTCACTAAATGCAGATATGTTATGAAACAGAATTTTAAGTATATTTGAGGTTCCTGATGGAGATAAGATGAATTATTATTGCTTTTAAGGTATTTTCTATTAGATGGTTCCTTTTCATTACAAGCTAAAGCACTTCAATTGAACAGTTTTTTTTTATCTGATTCCCTCCAATGCTGAAGGTTTAATGGACTTAATTAGAAGAAATGTATTAATGTAATTATTTTTACAGCAGTCATTTGAGATCGTCTGTGAATTCTGTGTGTAAAAGGTAAAAGTGAGATAAGTTTTGACAAAGGTTTTCTACCCTAATTTAATGAAGGCCACAAATAGCTGCAAATCAACACTGCACAAGATTAAATCTATCAAAGTCAATAAGTGCATTTTTTTTGTTGAATTGAGCAGATAAGTGAGACACTTTCCCAATGGAATAAGACAACTTAGATTTAAAATAAGAAGAACTGCA